TACATATATATACATTTATATATATTTACATATACTTATTTTATATGAAAAAATATAGTTAGTTAATGGTTAATAATAAAGCAACCATAATTGTTTTTAATTACCTTATCAGTTTTAAAGCAAATTTTAAGAGTCATTAGATCAAATCCCCAGAAAACAATAAGAACCCTAAATGTCTAATGATGAACTTAAGAATTCCGTTTAAGATGTAAAAGTCTAAAAATAGATTTCAATATCGAGAGCAAGGGCCTAATACCATCACAAAAGAAATTTCCATAATAGCATGTGGTCTATGGTTATTTACAAACACATATATTCCTGAACTTTTTTATTAATATGAGAAGAATCACCTACTCAATAAAAACAAAAACACACATAAAAAAAACGTCTTTTACATTACATTAAATGCTAATCCCAATCAAACTCTATGCAGCTACAGTTAATTTTCCTTTAGTTTTACAAATCAAATCTCTAATAAAATAGTTTTACACAAAAACTCTAAACCTCGTTTAACAACATTTATCATGAAAAATATCAGAATAAGAGTTTGCATATGCTCTTTGAATTTACATCATTCTTGAAAAATAGGCTAATACGTGAACACTTAAAAAATCCAGTGTTGCCCTGGCCAGGTAGCTCAGTTAGAGCATCTTCACCAAGGTTGCTGGTTGGATCCCTGGTCATGACACATACAAGGATCAACCAATGAAAGAACGAATAAGTGAAACAACAAATCAATGTTTCTCTCTCTCTAAAAAAAGTAAAAATAAAAAATAAAAACTCCCACTGTGTTTAGTCTCAGATATATCTGGATATGTAAGATTTGTAGAAGCTCTGTGGCCGTGGCAAATAAGGCTTGACTTACGGTGCTACTATCAAGAAATTATAGTCCTTGTTTCGAAAAATTACCAACAATATTTTTGTTCCAGTGGGAGATGATGTAGGTCACTCTTAATAATGCTAAGGGGCATGTGGAAGACCCTTGGAAAAGACTTCAAGAAAAAAATCACTCTGCCTTAACCAGTTTGGCTCAGTGGATAGAGTGTCAGCCTGCGGACTGAGGGTCCCAGGTTCGATTCTGGTCAAGGGCATGTATCTTGGTTGAGGGCACATCCCCGGTGGGGGGTGTGCAGGAGGCAGCTGATCGATGTTTCTCTCTCATTGATGTTTCTAACTCTAACCCTCTCCCTTCCTCTCTGTAAAAAATTTAAAAAAAGAAAAAAATCACTTCTCTCAAGGGATGCTGGTTCTCTTAATGTTCTGTTTCATATTGTGGGTGTTAGTTACAAAGGTGAGTGCAGTTTGTGAAATTCATTGACCTAAAAATAAACATTTAGGACTTGTGTGTGTACCTTTCTGCACATATGTGATTTTTCAATAAAACGTTTTTTAAAATCAGTCAAATTTTCTATGCGAATGAGGAATTACCTGTTGTCATAGATCCATAACATGGCAATATTAATAAGCCATCTAGAGTGGTATCTTGAACATCATAATCATAATCAACAGACTCTGCCATCTGAAAAAGTAATTCACAACTTTTTTCTATTTCAAATTGACCTGAAATGAGGGGAGAAAACACCATCAGCAACTGAATAGCAAAGTTAATTTAAGAGTGAAAAAAAGACCTTCTAAATTAAAATCAGTTTTGCATAATAGTTATTTTAAATCTCTCATTTGATCTAAAGGAGATGAACACATAAGTTGTCCAAATCTCAACAGTAAAATAAAAAATAGAGGAAACACCCGTTTCCAAGGAATTTAACTCTCTAAAGGAATAAAAATGTTTATAATCTTCTAGCCTTTCATGTTATTTAACATGGTTTTTGAGGAAGATTCAGTAAGGTTAATCATTAATATAAGGGATTCCAGTCCAGGAGATACTGCATTTCGGTGTGTTTCAAAATACTTAAGTAACCTTAAAATGGCAAAGTGACTGTTGCAATGTCTCACTTCTGACATCAGTAGAAGGCAAAGTGGAGGCGAGTGATGAAATGACTCATTTCTGCTAATAGGATGCTATTACTTGAAGAATCACATTAATCTGGGATTTTTGTCCTACAAAAAAGGCTCATCTATGGGACATGGATTCCACACCTTATATACTGCTATCATATAATATCACCCAGCCACTCAAAGGAGAATGGAGCTGGTAAGATATCTTTTGAAATAATAAAATTAATCATTCAGATTCAGGACTGTTTAGTGTGGTAATACTTCTACATGAGATAGACTAATAAAAATATTAATACTTTACTATTTAACATCTTTCTACTAAAAGGTCAGTTTTACATGTTCACTAATGAGACTGGCATTTTTAATGGCAGTGTAGAATTATCTTACATAAGATATAAAATCTGTAACTATTCAAATTGTCATAAAAAGCTGCAGCAACATGAGTACCACCCAGATTTCCCAAAAAAGAAGTACTTTATTATGGTGCCATGTGCCCTCTCATAAACAGTCATCTTAAACCTGATACTGAATGCTCACCAGTCAGAAAAACCAAGATGTCTCCAGCCATTTCATTCAAATGGATATCCATGGTCACTTTCACAATCTAAAGCAAGAAACACAAGCATAATATACTAGTGGAAATACAGTCCCCTACCCCCACCTCCCCTTGTTCCACAGAAAAATTAAATTTGGTTCTCAAAAGTCTTAGGAGAGGCCATTAGAATAATAGGGAACTGCCTGACCAGGGGGCTCGGTTGGTTGGAGCATTGTCCCATGCACCAAAAGATTGGGGGTTCAATTCCCGGTGAGGGCACATAATGGAGGCAGATGTTTCCCTCTCACATCCATGTTTCTCTCTCTTGATTTCTCTCTAAAAATCAGTTTAAAAAAAAAATAGCCTGGTCAGCATGGCTCAGTGGTTGAGCACTGACCTATGAACCAGGAAGTCACAGTTGGATTCCTGGTCAGGGCACATGCCCAGGCCGCAGGCTCGATCCCCAGTGTGGGGTGTGCAGAAGGCAGCTGATTAATGATTCTCTCTCATCACTGATGTTTCTCTCTCTCTCTCCCTTCCTCTCTGAAATCAATAAAAATATATATTTTTTAAATGATAATAATGGGGAACAAATAAATTATCAAACTATACAATCAACTAGAATCACAGATATAAAAAAGATGCAAAGTAATACCGCTTGAATATATGCAGTATTTTCTTTGTCTCGTGGGCCGATCAAATTGCAGAATTTTTCTCTGACTGGATAAAGCCTTCCAGGTATATCAAATATTGGACAATTTCCAAAGAATGCAGAGAGCTTGGCTAATTCCATAGTTGCTGACATCACCACGACCTTTAAATGCTCTTTCCTATTAGGAGACTTCTCCTGAAATAGCTTCTTCAATAAACCAAACAAGATGTCCTGAAAGAAAAGTAAATTTCTAATAAGTATACATAACAACCTCTTTTTAAATATTTTGTTTCCCTAAGCAAAGACTCCCTATTTCAATAGATTAAGATGTAAGAGGAGGTAGTCCAAAAGCTACCCCGAAGCAAACTGTCTAACAGATAACCAATATATTAAAATACTCACTGTAGTTAGAGTTCTCTCATGGGCTTCATCCAAAATAATGACACTGAACTTGGTAAGATTTGGATCCCCCAGAATATGTTTCAATAAACATCCATCAGTCATATATTTGATTGCTGTTTCCTAATGTTTAAAACACAAAGTTTTAAACAAGGCTAGGAGTTAACAGTAGTGCTATACATAAAACAATGGAAGGAAAAAGAAAGACAGTTGCAGTGGCTAGTAGGAAGGCAAAGACAGTATTTTAGAGTCATTCTGTGCCATAATTAATGACCATTCCCATTAGGAACCTTACGTACATCAAGGATTATTTTGTATCTGGTATAAAATTAGGAAATCCCAAGAGAATGTAAATTGTAACTATTAACTATTAAAAAGAAAACAATTTTAAACTTGTTAGTGCCATGAATATAGAAGATGCTCAGTACAAAATATTTGCTGACTTTGTTAATTTAGTTGTCAATTTTCCATTGACTTCAAGAATACAAGCATACAACATGGATGAACCTTAAAAACATTAGGCTAAATGAAGTAAGCCAAACACAAAGGACAAAATATTGTATGATTCCATTTATGAGATAGGCAAATACAGAGAGACAGAAAGTAAAATAGTAGTTACCAGGGGCTGGGGAGAAGAAGGGGTTACTATTTAACAGATACAGAGTTTCTATTGGGATAATGACAAATTCTTGAAGACAGATAATGGTGATGGTGAATGTACTTAATGCCAGTGAATGGCACACCTAAAAATGTTTAAAATGGTAAATTTTTATGTTATGTATATTTTACAATAAAATGTTTTTAAAAGAATACAAATTTAAGTTATATGTAGGATCCTTGGAGCTAAAAAATAATAAAATAAGAGAATTCTAAGAAAAAGAAACATACCCTAGCACAGTGATGGTGAACCTATGACACACGTGTCAGAGGTGACATGCGAACTCATTTTTTTGGTTGATTTTTTCTTTGTTAAATGGCATTTAAATATATAAAATAAATATCAAAAATATAAGTCTTTGTTTTACTATGGTTGCAAATTTCAAAAAATTTCTGTATGTGACACGGCACCAGAGTTAAGTTAGGGTTTTTCAAAATGCTGATACACCGAGCTCAAAAGGTTCGCCATCACTCCCCTAGCAGGTTTGGCTCAGTGGATAGAGAGTCAGCCTGCGGACTAAAGGGTCCAGGTTCGATTCTGGTCAAGGGCACATGCCGGTTTTGTGGGTTTGATCCCCAGTAGGGGACGAGCAGGAGGCAGCCAATCAATGATTCTCTCTCATCACTGATGTTTCTATCTCTCTCTCCCTCTCCCTTTCTCAAAAAAGAATAAAAATATATTTAGAAAAAAAGAAACATAACTGTCACTTAGAAACCAATTGAGAACGGAAAAAATGGGTTAAACAGACATTCCAAAGCATTAACAACGGGCAATAAAAATTAATTCTGAGATTTTGTTTCCTTAATAATATAAATAGAATTTCAAAGTTAAAATCTTTCATAATTTTCTTCATTCTTTCCATAAGTTTACAGTACTTAAACAAATACCAACAAAACTTTTGTACCTTAGAGCTGCAATCATCAAAACGAACTTGGTATCCTACTTTGGATCCCAAAGTACATTTCATTTCTTCAGCAACCCTCTGAGCCACTGATATGGCAGCTACTTTTCGCGGTTGGGTCACACCGATCATACCATGTTGTGAAAACCCTATCAAAACCAGAGTGAAAAAACACAATAATGTTAACAGTTACTTCTTATTAGAGCTAAATTGTTTCTGGTCAATCAATACAAACTATTCAAGTATATCCCAAACTCTGCAAATTAATAACATAGTATAGTATTACATTTGTATCATGGAAATTAAAGAATTAAAAATAGCACATATTAATAATCATTCAAAATGTATATATATTAATTAGGCCCAATTTTTAAGAATCCAATATAAAGCCCTAGCTGGTTTGGCTCAGTGGATAGAGCATTGGCCTGTGGACTGAAGTGTCCCAGGTTTGATTCTGGTCAAGGGCACATGCCTGGGTTGCAGGCTCAATCCCCAGTGGGGGCGGCAGGAGGCAGCCAATCAATGATTCTCTCTCATCATTGATGTTTCTCTCTCCCTTCCTCTCTGAAATCAATTTAAAAATAATCCAATATAAAGATTTACTCTAAAGAGTAAGCCGAGCCCAGTGTGTGGCTCAGTGGTTGAGCATTGACTTATGAACCAGGAGGTCACAGTTCAATTCCTGGTCAGGGCACTGCAGGCTCCATCCCCAGTGAAGAATGTGCAGGAGGCAGCTGATCTCTCTCTCTCTCTCCCTTCCTCTCTGAAATCAACACAAACATCTTTTAAAAATATAAGCCAAACACTTTTAATCTCTAGGAATCCATAAAATTCCACACACTTCCTAAAATAAATTTATCTTTGTCAGAAGTTTAAATATATCACTTTATATAGATTCTATAGGCACTTTTTTTTTTTACTATTTAAAATATCTTTGAAAAGGAGATGCATCTGACAACTGATGACAGTTTTCCTTCATTAACAGTATGTTAATAGTAAAAAACAGTGGTATGTCTTAATCAATGGCATCTTAGGTTTGATGCATAAGAGTAAGTTAATATATAAGCTAAGAAGTTTTTAATTGTTTATATGAATATCATCCAATATAATTTTGTTCTATATTAACCTATGCTAGGAAGTTTTAGCATAATAAAGTGAAAGACACTTTAAGGGTAATTTGTTAGCTGGTATTAGCACTGTCAGGGAATAAATACCTGATAATGCTCTGGAGAAAGAACGAAGAAATACTAATGTCAGCAACAGATATTAATATATCCCTCTCTCAGAAAAGATTTCAATACCCAATGGTGAATAGTCTACTGCAAGACAACCTTATTCTATAGCAGAGAATCAGTATAAACCTATAGTTTTACTTGGGGTTATTATGATAATTAAAAATGGAAAAGTTGCCATCTCAACTAACCTCTAAATCTGAAATAAAACCACAGAGAAGCAGGGAAGATGTAGGGACAGACCAAGAGAATTGGGTCTGTAAAACAAATAGTGGGCATTTGTGATATACAGAAGTCCTATTAGCCTTTAAGAGGATTTTTAAAATGTATTTTTATTGATTTCAGAGAGGAAGGGAGAGGGAGAGAAGATAGAAGCATCAATGATGAGAGACAATCACTGACTGGCTGCTTCCTGCATGCCCCCCACTGGGGATTGAGCCCACAACCTGGGCATATGCCCTTGACCGAAATCGAACCCAGAACCCTTCAGTCTGCAAGTTGATGCTCTATCCACTGAGCCAAATTGTCTAGGGCAAGAGGGTATTTTTTTCAACCTCCCTGAATTATCCCAGAATATCGTTACCTGCTTCATATAGATATTTTGGAAGTTGAGTTGTTTTACCACTTCCTGTATTTCCAGTAACAATAAGGAACGAATTGTCCCTCACAGCTTGAATAAGCTTTTTTCTTTGTTTTTGAATAGGAAAAGTTGGAGTAGTTCCTCCCTCCTGTGATGTGCATCCTTTGTCTTCTGCAATGAGAGAAAAACAATTGTGCAATTAAAAGGTCTGTAAAAGATATCTTTGACTCAATTTTCCAGAACTGAAAAGAAAAAGACAATAAAATTTTCGGGTTGGAAAACATCAACCAACGACTTATCAATTAAATCACCTAAGTCTAATTTGTAAGTGAGGGTTTATAAGCCCAGAACAACTTTTTAGCGACATCTAACAAGTTGAGCATTTGCTAATGCATGACTCAAAGTTAGCCTAGTACAAGGCAACGTATACGCAAGTATACCTATACAGAAGCACAAAACCCAATTGTATCAAACAACAGAATAATAAGTGGAACCCAGCAGAAAACTGTCAGCTGAATTAAGAGCCACCTGTGCCTGCTTCTGATTCATGGTTCAAGTTAGGTCCTTGTTCAGAGTGACATATCCCAGAAGGCCAAGTGGTGGGTAACCATGGAAACTGGCTCCTGGAAACTGGCTCCCATACTGTACCCAAAGGCAGGCTGGCGACCCGACGAAGGCGGAGGGAGGGAGGGGAGGGGAGGGGAGGCGGGTAGATGGGTAGAGAACAAAGGCTTTATGCGCCTGGTTAACAGGAGAGCGCGTCTGGGCTTCGGGGTTCACTTTTTTGGCCCCCAGAAGGTTTTCGCTCAACTTGGGTCTGGGACCGCCCCCCTCTAGAGCAAAGTGCTCCCATTGGACGCCAAGTTCGCTTCTGGCGAGGAGGGCGAGGAGCAGGCTGAGGCCTCCCGCCCACTCTGCTCCGCCGGCCCCCGGCGGACTTCTACGCCCCCCGAAACCCCCAGCCGGCACTCTCGCTGGCCAGGGCAGCATCCCGAGGACCGCACCTCTGTCCGCGATGAGAACAGCCGAAGGCCGCCCTTCCTGGGGCTCTCTGGACCGCTCTCCCTCCTCTGGCCGCCTTGGCGCCCTGCCCGCGACGGTGGGAAGCCGGGACATAGACCCGGCCCCGAGCGGAGCGGAGCACGTCCACCGCGGCGGGGAGACCGGAGGGGAAGGCGCAGGCGCACCCTGATGACGTCGCGGTGTTTACTTCCGCGCGTGCGACTGGGAGCCCGGGCAGGGGAGCTGTTCGATGACGTGTC